CCATCTCTTCTATGTCTTCCTCTTTTATACTGGCCTTCTACTTTTCTGGGTATAATGTCCTTCTCCAGGTGCTGCTCCCTGATGATAACAAGTCCAAAGTATGTGAGGTGAATTCTAAACATTCTCACTTTACGGAGCTTTCTAGTTACACTTCTTCTGAAACCTTGCTTTCTGAGAGTGAGGAAGATTTGCCCCCAAACATCAAAGACTACAGACTTCAATATGGCTTACTTCTCCACATCAAGAAGTCTAAAATCCTCACCGATAGGCCAATAGGCAACATTATGATAGGTGGAGAAAGGATTGAAATTGTCAACAATTTCATCTTACTTGTATCCACAATCAATACCCTTGGTACCAGCAGATCAGAAGACATAATGCACTGGGGAAAAAAATCTGCTGTCAGGGACCTCTCCAAATTACTGAGGAGCAATAAGGTCAGTTTAAAGACTAAAATGCAGTGGATTTAGGCCATGGCCTTTTCAATTACTTACCCTGCATCTGAGAGCCAGACAATGAATGAGGATGACAAAAGAAGAGTTATTGCTTTGTTGCAGTTGTGATGTTGGAGAAGAATACTGACTATCCCATGTACTGTCAAAAGAACAAACAGATATGTCTTGGGGAAAGTGCACCTAGAGTTCCTAGAGGGGTTAAGAGCATCACATTTAGAAAGGTAGAGGAAGGAAAGCAAGACCCTCAATGAGATGAATTCACACAGTGACCCAGGAATGGGCTCAAGCATGTCAGAGATGATGGGGATGGCACAGGACAGGACAGGTTTTAGATCAGTTGTTCAAGGGTTTACAATGAATCCCATTGACTTTGCTGCTGTTGTTGTCTCAGATGCTGTAATCTACCATAATATATCCACAAATCTATTCACACTATTTGGATTATATGTGCTTTTAGAATAAATAGAACTGAACTATTGCACTGGGATCAAAGACTACCGCTTTCAATATGGTGTTCTCCTATTGAGTAAAATATACGGACTGTGGAACACGTAGTTTGGATATTATAAGACACTTAATTTGAATCCTATTTTTCAATTGTGCTTTAGATAGGTGACATGTTAATTTTCAGAAAATCAAGATATAGATGTACACCTCATTGCTGTCAGGTTGAGTTCAACTTACAGATGAACCTCCAGCAGGTTTCCAAGGCTGTAAATTTCAAGAGAGGACATTGCTTATCTTGTCCCTCAGAGTAATTAATGGATCTGAACCTACTGCAACTCTCTATGACTACATGGAGAGAGAGAGAGAGAGAGAGAGAGAGAGAGAGAGAGA